TTGGTAAAAGAGTAGCCCCAAGAATTGGCGGTGGGTGGTGATGACTAGCTGCCTTCCCTCTAGTCTTACACTGCTAAATTAGGGACGGCTAGCGCAGATAGCCCTCGTGTAGCTTTGCGCGAAATCCATAACAAACAAAAAAACTATATCATAGAATAAAATAACATTCGTTTTATGATTTGCAATTATTATAAATACCAGAACTTATAATATTACGGACTTATACCGCTAGAAATCGGTTGGCAGAGCACAGATAGCCCTTTGTGTAGCTTTGTGCTTAATAACAGACAACAACAACAACAATGTCTCTTTTAACAATAAAGAAATCAAAATATTTAAAAAATGTTCATATTTGAAATGTTTCATTTAATTGGAAAACATGTACTTTCTAACATTATAAAATTTGTGTCGATATTACAGGTTGGGAAATTTCAACATCTTAGAAACCACATGTTTTGTTGTTGTTGTTGTTTCAGGTTTAAATCAGTTGCATTGAACTAAAATGAATTAAGTATAGGAATTCAAGTTGAAGTCTAAGAATTTTCTAATCAACATGGTTAAGATGTTAAACGTTTATTTGATTATGAGTTATTTTGAGTTTGAGTATTTGAAATTACTGCTAAATGTATTCACTAACCTTAAATTGATTATTTTCAGCTTCTGTGCCGTTACTGGAAAAGTGTCTCTTTTCACGTTTCTCACTTTAGTACCACCTAGATTAACTTCCTCGAGGTTTGAAAATGTTGCTAACAAGAAGTCAGAGATAAAGACTGAATTTTGTCCTTCTGGATTGCCTGTACAAATAAATTGTTTTAGGTTTGATATTCCGATATAATTTAGACTTTCATTAAGTAAACAAGTACTCCCTTCCATGCGTAGGGTGTAAAAATAACGGAATTCGTCGTTATGGGAAATTTTGTTTGATGCCTTAATAGTTCCTACGTTTGTTTCTTCCAATGTTAGTGTTTGCAGCGACTTAGCTAAACCTTGGAAATCTTCCATCAATGTCAAGGACGTTATTTGTAGATTTTTCAATTCAATATGGCGGATCGACAATCCTTGGAAGACATCTGTTGGAAATTTGCTCATCCTGCCATCTTCGAGGATTAGCCGATTGTAGGTGCGGCCTTTGAAGGAAGAGAATGGGATTTCCTTTACACGATTAAAGCCTTTGCATGTTAGAACTGGTCCATAAGTAGAACATCTGCAAGGAAGAATGTTTTCTGGGGGTGGACAACTTGTTGCAGCTTTTTGTAACTGAAGTGTAATAACAATGGAGAAAAACAACAACGCGCAGCTAAAGCTGCAAAAACAACAAAAATAACGTGTTTTAAAAAATAAAGCTGAACATTTTCAATACGTCAACTTGAGTTTACCAGACATTTCTTTGGGTAAACAATAACTTCTTATAGCTAAAGGCATGCAGCAACTTCAATGGATGTTACTTAACACGTATTAACCTTTTATTGTAAAATTGTATAAAATGTTCAACGAAGCAGCCCGTGGAACGTTTACATAATACACATTTCATAAATTCAAAATATCTGAACTGTGAGGACTTTACATATATTCATAACGTATATTTTAAGAACAATTTCAACTGTTAAAGGTGTAGAACAAGTTACAAATTGCCAAGTAAAATTACTTAAAATCAGTTGTGTATCAAAGCGTGAAGATTATTGTTAGCTTAATATCATCATGATGAGCCGTGTTCTATCCCCTGTAGATCTGACTCATAAAATAACGAGTTATTAATATGTGCGTGTGTGAGAGAAAGAGACACACACACACACTAGATTAAATAGGGCTCAAAATCAGGGGGTGTTTAAATGTCCTCCCCGATTCACACATATATCCCTTTACGGTCAAGTCTCCTTTGTTTTAGTAGACATGTATTAACAAAAGGTTCAGTTACAGAAGATTCTAAGTACGTATCACTACTTAGTAATTAAATTAATTATTTCTATTGGTATAAATGTTTACTGTCTACCATATGGTTGATATTATCATTCTTATTTTTCTATCATTTTCTGATCATTTTGTGGCTTAAAAAGAAACTCCTGCAAGACTTTCTATTACCAATGTAAACTATTATAGGGTTAATATTATCAGTCTTATTTTTCTAATAGTAGCTTCTGATCATTTTGTGACTTAAAAATAAACTCCTGCAAGACTTTCCATTAACAATGTAAACTATTATAGGGTTAATATTATCAGTCTTATTTTTCTAATAGTAGCTTCTGATCATTTTGTGGCTTAAAAAGAAACTCCTGCAAGACTTTCTATTACAATGTAAACTATTATAGGGTTAATATTATCAGTCTTATTTTTCTAATAGTAGCTTCTGATCATTTTGTGACTTAAAAAGAAACTCCTGCAAGACTTTCTATTAGCAATGTAAACTATTATAGGGTTAATATTATTAGTCTTATTTTTCTAATAGTAGCTTCTGATCATTTTGCGACTTGAAAAGAAACTCCTGCAAGACTTTCTATTAGCAATGTAAACTATTATAGTTTTGCATGGGTACTTTTATAAGAGTCGTGGTTATAAATATTTCTACATACGGAAAGGTTTAATTCAAATATAGAATGGTCAATTGAAACAGAGGAAAATTGGTTGTTACCTTTCCATGTTCACCATCTAGTCTTTGGGAGTGTTATTGAACAACTGGTAAATTCACTCTTCACGTAAGCTTTATGACGCATGAGAAACATGTGTTATCAGTATAATACTAAATATTCATGATATGTGGTCTTTACTCACACCCTTTATTTCACTGTGTATCAGGTCTCCATGTGAACTCTATCACATGTTAGGAACTTTTTTAGAAGTATATTTTAGATATTCCTTCCATCCTGAAAATTATCTTAATTCTATATGTTATGTGAAATAGAACAACGAATACTATTTTAATTTTTATCAACTGTTGTTTGTTACATCCTAAAAAGCGTAATTGGTACGCAATGATATCAATTCAAGTACCTCCCTCTTAGTTTAGGTTTTGATGTGTATTTCACACCGTATTGAACTAGTTTTAAACTGTGTTATTTTGATGTATATTTCACACTGCATTGAAGTAGTTTAAAGCTGTGTTAGTTTTGATGTATATTTCACACTGTAATGAAGTAGTTTTAAACTGTGTTAGTTGTGATGCATATTTTACAATGTATTGAAATAGTTTTAAACTGTGTTAGTTTGATGTATATTTCACATTGTATTGAAGTAGTTTTGAACTGTATTAGTTTTGATGTATATTTCATACTGTATTGAAGTAGTTTTAAACTGTGTTAGTTTTGATGTATTTCACACTGTAATGAAGTAGTTTTAAACTGTGTTAGTTTTGATGTATTTCACACCGTATTGAAGTAGTTTTAAACTGTATTAGTTTTGATGTATATTTCACACTGTATTGAAGTAGTTTTAAACTGTATTAGTTTTGATGTATATTTCACACTGTATTGAAGTAGTTTTAAACTGTGTTAGTTTGATGTATATTTTACACTGTATTGAAGTAGTTTTAAATTGTATTAGTTTTGATGTATATTTCAAACTTTAATGAAGTAGTTTTAAACTGTGTTAGAGAACTACATTTGGTTTGTCGATTATATCATTAAAAGATTCTACAACTATCATTATTTTCGGGATAGAAGATATTCAGAAGTTACAGACACCAAATAAACAATCGGTAAAATCTAAATCTTGTTCGTCTATAAATATATGAAAAGAATAAAACAACGTGTACTCGCATGAAAAAGTAAATACCTCGAGAGGAAAAAAATAAACTTTTATAGCAAGAAACCTTTGGAAGATTCTCAACCTATACAACAATGTATTCTAATTAAGAAATAAAAGAAATGCAATCTCCATTATATTTTTGGTTATAGTTTTGTTTATCGTTTGTATATTTTTTCTTTCTATTCTTTAGTTCAGCTGTAATTTTATCTCTTTTAAACACGCTCACGTGCTCCAAGTGTATATTAAATTTTAAAAGTTGTTTTAATATAGTTGAAGCTATATTTTTATAATGTTGTACTTTGTTACCTAAAGGACGTAGACAGTTTTTTAGTATACTCAAACGTAAATTATAAATATTACGTTTCGGGAAGCGTTGTTAGGTTAGATAGTTGTTTCATGAAGATATTAGTTTGTTTTCAAGATAGATTTGAATCAGACAGTGTGTTACCTATCGTAAATTTACTTGTTTTACGTTAACGCCATTTGTAACGTAGGCCTACAGTGAATTACGGACGTTTACAAGTGTTTAAGTTTGTAGAAATGTTAAAGGAGGAAGTAAAGTAATTCATTATCGTTACATGAACTGGACGTTGAAATTATTTTCATTAGATAATTTAAAAGAACCAGCCAACGAAAGAACTACGTTACTAAAGTATTAAGACATTAACACGAGGTTCCTCCAATAGTAGCATATGGATACTAAGTTTGAAACTGCTGTAAGATTATGTAAAATAACTTCTAAGTTGTTACTCATGTGATATATAATCTCGTGTTTTAACAAGAAGTTAAAAGCCTACGATCTGAAGTTAAGCAATGCTGTCTAGAGGAGTTAGACTAAAGAGCTGTGACACGTAAGAGATAATTAATTATTAAAAAAATATGTTGTTGAAAATACTTACTTACTATCTACTTATGATGATATATTATTTTTCAGAAGTTTAAAATATTATCTTTTGTTTAATCTAACGAATTAGGTTTTTCGTGTTTCTTCTGCCCACCCATCTACCCCCCCCCCACCCCCCCAGTGGCTCAACAGAAAGTTTGAAGGCTTATAACTAAAAACTTCGTTTCATAGATTGCTCATTGAGTTGCTTTGTCCTGAAAGCTAAACAAACAAACTGATTTCTTTCTTTTTTCTTAATTATTTATTATTGTTATTATTATGTTCAAGTTATTAAAAAATTATTATTTGTATTGAGATTTAGAGTTGATATATTTAGTTACAAACTCCTGCCCAGGCACTGCTTAATTATTGAAGGTGTTCTTTAAAATGTTATTGTGTTAACAAATTTATCGTACCCTTGTAGTGACGTAGTTATTTCATACGTTACATTTTTTATATACATTAATAAAAAAGGCTTTACTCTTGCCCTATGCCTTCAAAAGATATGTTCAGAAAAAAAAAATATCTACTGTGAAACATTTCGTAAACCCGTGCAATAAAAAAAAGAAGTCGTTATTTGGAAGAAGAAAATGAAATTATTGAATATGAACATCATTTGTGAAAGCACCTTTTGGTTTGTCATCGATCATAATTTGTTCGGTTTATTTAGTTAGCCATTTCTTTTTTATCTTTATCATCGCCTCTACTGCGTTTTATTGTCCATTTTGGATCTAGTGTTTTGCTGATTTTTAAAACATGCTACAATAACTGCTACAAAATAAGTGCTACAAAATTTGTTTTATTATTTATCCAGAAACGTATTACATAAAATGTTACTTTCCTGGCAAATTATTGTAACATAATTCTCTGGTAGCATCGATGGTCTTTCTAGAAATATTGACCCCAATTTGGACATAAATCTTCTAAATCAATGTCAGTTAGTATTAGTCCAGCAAATTTTGCGGTATTCGGAATTTTAGATTGACCGTGACATGTTGGAGGTATGAAATTTGCAGGTTTCTTTGGGCTGAAGAGAATCCAAGCGACTTGGCAATCACAAACAACACTGTTACCTAGAAAAGTATTGAACATTGTGTGTAAGGTCACTCAAACTTTCACACATAAGACGTATCAGGATACGATAGTATACTTTATAGTATTATTGCTGTACATCATTTAATTAAATGGACAGAACATTGCATAGTTTTATCGATATTTCTTAAAAAGTCGTGTTTTATCCTTTCTTCGAGGAAAATTTCAAAGGACAAATATACAATAACAAATAATAGTTTTAAAAAATAAACTTCAAGATTTCTATAAATAGAAAATTTACTTTCATGTAAGAAGATGAGATTCCAGCAGTATTTGAATCATATATTTTTAAATACGTTTCGAAACTTTTAATAAGAGTTGTAAATCCATTTCGCTGGATGTTTTTATGTGACGTATACATATGTATGCATAAAATTAACAACACACAAAATAATACAAATTTAACTGGTATACTGCCTTAAGTCGGTTATTTTCTTCAGTCCAACCTTTATCACTGACTGACCACTATATTAAGACTCATACACAGTTACATCTGTAGGGCATGCATTTTATTTATTTGCATATGCAAATTAGATTATCAATGAGATGTTTGAGGTGATCGTTTGATCCTTTCAAATGCAGAGATGTAGTCATAGTCATACGTGATTCATTTGCAAGAAAATAGGTAAGAGCAAGTGCCTCTGACTTTCAAAGGGCCATGATAGTAGGTTCTCATTTAACATGAGTATCGTTATCAAAATATTTTCATTAAACAATTGTTTAAATTAGAGTCTCAATAGTAGCACTCGAAAGGAAACACAACTGTTACTAGGAAAACTGAGACAACCAAGAACTGGTGAAAATAAATATTAAATGAAGATTAGGCAGACTTATAAAGTACAACAGATGTCATAACGTATTCTACTTGATCAAATCTTATGACAGTGGTCAGGATTAGATATCTCTCGATAAATCAGGAGAAGAAATAATACAAACCATGGAGAGTGAATGACTGTAAACGTGTGATGTGGTCTGAAAAGTTCTGAGTTGGTGGTAGGTTAAACATATGAAGAAAACCATATGAGAATGTTAACCCTACTTGTGTTTTCTCACAGTACAAGCTGTTGGATATGGTGTAATGATGTGGATTAACTTCTAATGATATGGGTTAGATCTTTTGTAGGAAAGGTTAACACCCAGATTGCACCTGAACGATGATTCACATCATTTTCTCATCAGAATATTGCATTTTCACCCTGATGAACAAGGAATATTCTAAGACGATAGTGTAACAATCTACCGTTATCTTAATGTTCAAAACATCTTTGAAGAACTTGTAGTAAGTTCAGGCATTTTATCTGAACATTTCTCATTTCAATTAATCATATTTGTAATGAGTTAAACGTCACACTAATAACGTCATTGTTTTCGGCATCATTGAATTATTTACTGTCCATATTTCTCGAAGAATGGACTATAGCTGAACACAATACATATCGAAACTTGAAGTCTACGTATGCTGAATTAGGGCTATTAAGTTGGCAAAAGGTAGAGTTTCTAATAAAATGATCAGTCTTACAGTAACATTAACATTTCATTTTCTCTTCAAAAAGGAAGGCTGGTATAACAGCTACTCGAGACGTATTCTTATCACAGGTTTCCATGGATTATCCTGTATATAACTTTACCTGGTTCCCACCGTTATCACTCATTAAAGAAACCGTCTACTCTCAGTATTCTTACTGACAAGGGTGAATAGCAGAGTAACTAAGACGTAAAGACAATGGAAAGTAAGTAACTTAAGGTTTACTTTTAATATTTCCGACTAGCTTATTTGAAGATAGTTTTATAACAAAATTTTGTTTGTTTTGTTTTTATGCACAAAGCTTTCAGTTGAGATAAAAACAATTCAATTGATTCCACACCAGTTAAAACTTTTCTATTTATAAAAATTAGCTTTGTGATTGATCGACTCACCTTTACCTAAACTGTAAGTATCCTGAATAATGTGGAATCAACTTGTCTTTCAACCTAAAGCTAACTAGTATAGATAAAGAAGCAGACTCACCTTTACCTAAACTGTAAGTATCCTGAATAGTTGATTCCATACCGGTTGAAAGACACTTTATCTATACTAGTTAGCTTTATGTTTATTCAGGATACTTACAGTTTAGGTAAAGGTGAGTCAGTTGATTCCACACTGGTTGAAAGACACTTTTATCTATACTAGTTAGCTTGTTTCCTTGTAAATAGACTTCTTTAAGTACAGGTAATCTTTGGAATAAATGTATGTCGAGTTCCTGCAAGTTGTTATCCCTGTGGATCATTAAATAACGAGTATTTTTTTTTATTAACAACTTGTTTCCATATGGGTCATTTAGTAACAGGAAAATATTTATTTACAACTCGTAATCCCTGTAAAACATTTAACAATATAATGTATTTAACAACAACTCGTTATTCTTCTAAAACATTTAACAATATAATGTATTTAACAACAACTCGTTATCCCTGTAAAACATTTAACAATATAATGTATTTAACAACAACTCGTTATTCTTCTAAAACATTTAACAATATAATGTATTTAACTACAACTCGTTATCCCTGTAAAACATTTAACAATATAATGTATTTAACAACAACTCGTTATTCTTCTAAAACATTTAACAATATAATGTATTTAACTACAACTCGTTATCCCTGTAAAACATTTAACAATATAATGTATTTAACAACAACTCGTTATTCTTCTAAAACATTTAACAATATAATGTATTTAACTACAACTCGTTATTCTTCTAAAACATTTAACAATATAATGTATTTAACTACTACTCGTAATCCCTTTAAAACATTTAACAATATAATTTATTTAACTACTACTCGTTATCCCTGTAAAACATTTAACAATATATTGTATTTAACTACAACTCGTTATTCTTCTAAAACATTTAATACTGTAATGTATTTATCGACAAGTTATGATCCCTGTGTAACACTCCATAATTCTGAAAACAATATTTTCATCTCCTACAACTGAACAATCGCCTTAAACAGATATTTCCTAAAGTTTCCGTTGTCTCCTTCCGAGAAAGCAGAACTCTAAAAGATATCCTTGTTCACGCAAAAGTGAATTACATCCCACCCAAAAATGTTTATCGTCCGTGTAATAAAGACTGTTGTCAAACCTGCAAGTTCATTAAAACCACTGACTCATTTTCTGACAAGCACAATCAAAAAACTTTAAAATATCCAAAGAAATCACTTGTGAAACAAAAAACACCATTTACCTCATACAGTGTAAAAAAATGCAAATACCAATATGTAGGACATTCATAAACAACTCTCAGAGAACCTTTCAACAGTCATAAATCTTATATTAATACCGAAAAAGATCTCCCTGTTGCTCAACACTTTAACTAACCCGGTCATTCCATTAACGATGTTACTCTCATCGGTATTGAAACAGGATTCAAAACTAAAGCAGATAGAGAAAACACTGTTCAACCTTTCGGAATTAATCTAGATCCTGGTTTTATCTCTGTCAGAAAAATAGTTTTTATTCTTTGCTTATTTTTTCATGTAATATGAACGATGAATTTCCTAAAACTTACTATTTATTTAAGATAATTTTCCATACCTGTTTTTTATTAGTTGATTAGCACAACATATCTTTTTCAGTTAGTTTCAGGTGTCACCTTTATTTTACTTAAACACTTAAGTATAGTTATAAATATACACATATTTATCCATTTCTAAAGTAAAATATCCCTAACACCTTTTCACATGCACTCTCGCCATCGGCTACACTCTACTGGAAATGAGATGCTTACAACAGTACATAGAAAAATAGGTTAAACATTTCCTGGAAAACTAGATGACCTTCATGACGTCACTAAACTCCCTTTATATATATATCACTCATTCGATTACACCGCCATTCCCAGTTTGCCCCTGAAGAAGAAAGGTCCACCTTTTGAAAATGCTCGGGTTATAGGGTTTTTTATTCACTTCATAATGTAATGTATTTATCTATAATTTGTTAACCCTATAAAACATTTAATAATATAATTTATTTATCTATAATTTGTTATCATATACAACATTTCATAATGTAGTGTATTTATCTACGACTCGTTAACCTTATACAACATTTGATAATGTAGTGTATTTATATACAACTCGTTAAACCTACACAACATGTATTTATTTACAACTCGTTAACCCTATACAACATTTGAT